TTAAAACTTTTTATTAAACCAATTTATCTTTTCAAAATTTTTCGAAAATATTGATTAAAATAAAAAAAAAATCAATTTTATCAATTTATTGAATGTTCTTCCTATCTTCATCTTTAATCGATATTTCTTATTGATTTTTGATTCAACCTTAATTGATTGTTACTGTCTTATTGATTTTTAATTTTTAATTAATATCTTAATTGATCGATAACGATTGCATTTTTATTTAACGATTAAAAATTTATTAACCAATACACTCTAATAATTATAATTATTTGTTATGACTATTTGTCTATCTTTACAATAATCATAACAATATAAGAATTCTCGGGAAAGCTATACAGGATTTTAATTTTACTTAAATTCTAAAAATATCTCATAACATTGCATGGAATACATTTCATTTTAATAGTTGTTCAAATAATATAGTGCTAATTAAGCATCATTAATACCCTTTTAGCTGATACTCTTTTGATTTGACATTTGACATCGCAAAACAACATTTGCCTACTTTCTTGTAAATTAATTTTTTTTTTTAGACTTTGATGCTATTAGTATTATCATATTACTGATTATTATTATCATATTACTGATAATCAGTAATATGATAATTGGAATTACTAATATGATAATTAATTGTATGATCTCATTATATTATTCAGACAAAAATAATTAAGAAGTGATCTTTTGAAAACTTATCAAATTGATCCAACTGATAGCATAAGATATTGCAATTTCAAAAAAAAAAAGAACGATAAATAATATGATATACTAATTTTCATCTTCCCATGTATATATATATATAAAATAATTTTAGATCGGAAACGGAAAATTTCATTATCCAAATGTCAAGGGAAATTTTTTTTTGTAGTGTAACATTAAAATTTGATATTTATTTGTTATCTATTTAACAGATGTTGTTAAAATTTTAAGTATTAAAATATTTTTGCATTTTTAAATTTAAATCTTTTCACACATTTATACTTTTAATGATAAGAATTAACTTTTTCTTTTTCTTTTTGCTCTATTTTTTTCAAACATATTTTTATTTTTTTTAATGCTTATTTTATTCTTAATAATTCTTTTCTTTTTTTTTTTTTCTCCTAAATTTTTTTAGATTGAACATTTTTTTTTTCTTCTTTCTGATTAATCCTTTCATAAAATACTAAGGATGCTAAGGACAAATATGCCAGTTTTATCTTTGGTACTTTTTTTGTTTCTTTTTTTTTGTAGTAAAATTATCAGAGCAATGCAAAATTATCAAAATTAGAAGAGTAAAAAAAAGAAAAAAGAAAAAAAAGAGAAGAGAAAAAGAATAGAAAGTGAAGATTTTAAACAAAAGTTAAAAGTAATATTTTTTTTCTGCACTTATAATTAATACTTATAAATTTTGGAGCTTTTTTTGCAATTTTGCTTAAGTTTTTGATATGATAATGACTTTTTGATATGATAATGCCTAAATTCATTTCACTCTATGCAAAAAATAAATTTCAGTATTTGAAATGTAATTAACTTCTCTTATCAGTGGTACAAAATAGAATTTAACTTCTGCATTCAGTAGTATGAAGTAAAATTTAACTTCTCTTATCAGTTATATGAAGTGAAACTAAGTTGATATAAAAGTAGGTGATGGAATTTGATATCTTATATTTGGATATATTATTAAATAGATTTAACTGTATTATGTACCATTTTAATGTTCACTTAATTTCTGTTTTTGTTTTTCCGCTAATTAGATATTGGACGAAAGATGAATTCGAATGATTTGAGCCAAAAAGTGGTGAGTGTACTTGGCCTGGAAACTATTTAGTACGATTACTTGGCCCAGAAATCTGTTTACTATATAGTACAGTTACTTGACTTGGAAACCGTTTATTAATATATTTACAATGTAGATGATGAATGAAGCTGTTAAAGCTGATGGATAAGACAATGTTAAAGATGAAAGCATAATGATCGGTCATCGGAAGCTAAAGATGACCAATGGAAAGGAGTCATTTTTCTTAACTAATTTTCTCACAGCTAAACAAGAAGTTGTCGAAGAAATCAACTTTGAATATCCTATGGTTTTTTTTAGCATCTGAAATAAATCGGTGAGATAAAAAAGTGGTTATCTTGGAAATGACCAATGAAAAAAAAAAAAAAATCATCGTTTGGAAATGTCGTCTTGATCGATTGTGATGTGTGACATAAAGTGATTTGTATGTGACAATGGACGACGATCATTTTAGTATTTGGTGAGAAAAGAAACCCTAAAGTACTTTCTGAAGTCGAACTTATAAC